CCCGCCAGATGCGCCGTACGCAGGGCCCGCGGAACGCACCGAGGCTGATGCGCACGCCACACCGCGCGGCCCACCACCGCGCGGCGTCGACGAAGGGTTTGCAGCTACGCCTCCCACTGGACCGCGTGGATCTAGCTACGGACGGCGTGGCGGCCCGCTTCCGTCGCCCGCGTTCCGTGGTCGCGAGGGTTCGGGGTCCACTGGCGCGTACACGCCCGGATCAGACCGCGAGCGCGAAGGCAGCAGCTACCTCTCTCCATCCACCGCGCGGTTCCCACGCACATCACGGGACGGTCCACCTGCAGCCTACCGAGGTGGACATCCATCCTACGGTCGTGGACGAAGAGACACGAACCCGCACCCATACGACGCCTACCCTGCTCCCGGCGGGGACGAGTATCACGCCGGATCGTCTCCACATGAAGCATCGCCGTTCTCACCATCGACTGCTACGCCGATTCACCTTTCCGCACCTCGACTATCGCGTACCTCGTCGGCACACACTCCTACCGCAGCTGCCTCCTCGTCGGTGGTGGTGCCGCACTTTAGTGCAGCATGGAAGTTGACGCCGGAGTTGGATGCCGAGTTGATGGCTCTCGAAGCGGCAAGGACGACTTTTGTGGGCAACGTGCTGATGGGTGCAAAGCGCGCGGCAATCAGGAGTGCGAGGGTCGAACTTGCCGATGCAGAGATGGACGTGGCTGCTGCAGTCGGTAGACGACAAGCGGCCGAAAAGTCCCTGGAGAATGCAAGGGAGACTGCGGACGCTTACAGTCTAGAGGAGAATAGGAAGGAGGAAATTCAGCGTCTCATGGCCCAACAACTCCAGTCGGTCTAGCACCCACTGCCAATGCCAAGGTTCCTAACCCTCAGAATGCAGTGCTGGTGTGGAATGCGTTGAAGAAGCCACAGTGAACTTTTGAGAAACTGCATCCAACCCCACCCAGAAGCTTCAGTGACAAGGCGAAACATTCAGCACAAGACCCGAGTCCCAGTGGGTCGAGTCGAATGTCGTTGTCGCCTCTGTCATCACACCAAAGCGCGCACCGCAAAACAATGGCAAGAAAGGTCTGATTCAACGACGCAAACATCAGAGCTAGAGCAAGAAACGTGGTGGCGGTGGTGGGGTATCCAACTCGACGGGAAATCGTAACGAGGCGGCGGTGCCGTGTTGTGGCAACTCTAGTTGGCACTCGCGCTGGTGAGCGTAGCTGCGTGCTTATCAAAGTCCTTCGAGTGAAGCAGGTGGTGACTATCAGAATAAGAATCGGTCAGTGTCACGTTCCACTCCCCTGTGGTCAGAAGTCAAAACTTACTGCTGCTTGGCCACGTCCCATCTGGGCTTGGGAGCCTTGACGGCATAGCTCTTGGTCTCTCCGCCTCCCCTCACCTTCTCGACGCGCAGATCAAACTCGACCTCGCCCGATGCCTCGAGGTACTCGACGCTGCACCAGTTGCGTGCGCCGATAATGTACTTGTCCTTCTGCTTCTTGCCCTCCAGATCCGTCTCGAACAGCGGCACCATGGTCTCCTTGGTGCCACAGTAGAACAGCGATCGATGCTTCTTGCTCGCGAGCTTGTTGAGCATCGAGATGACCGCGGGCGGAGGCGGCGTGTTGACGATCGCACTCGTAATCACCGCGAGCGAATACTTGGGGTCCAAACTGGGATCGTGCTGGTGGTATCCGTAGAACACTCCGACACCGCCAGCGTGCACGTCGCCGCTCATGTACGAGATGCGCAGGTGCTTCTCCAGCGCCACCTCCTGCACACGCTCCACGAGCCAGTTGCGCTCGTGCTTGTGCGGACCCGCACACCAGTGGTCGCCCAAATCATCCAGCAGCTCCACCTGCCCGTTGAAGTTGTTTGTGAAGCCCGGAGAGAGGCCCTTGGCAAGCATGATGAGCGGGTTCATGGAGCTGCTCAGCGTGCGCTCGAGGAAGACCATGCGCGGATACGCCAGCGGCACACCGAGCAGCACGATCAGATGCTCCACGCCCGCTGGCATGGCGCGCACCGCCGCAAACAGCCGCGCGTACGTCTCCTTGGAGCAGATCTGGTCGATCTTGCGCTCCGAGCGGCAGTCGACCAGCAGGATCCACTGCTTGGGCCCGAGGTAGGAGAGCAGGCTGTGGTTCTTGAAAGGAATGTACACGCCCTGGGGACCGATGAGCATGCTCCTCTGCGGGTGGGCCGTCTCGCTGAGGCCATCGACGTCGTCGTTGACAAACAGCTGGAAGAGGAGGAAGAAGAAGTAGCCGCGCGCTCCGACGTGGTTGAAGACGGCGGCGCGCATGAGGTCGTCCGGATACGTGCCGAAGCCGTCGATGAGGTCGTGGTCGTCGAGCATGTTGATCATGGGCACCTGCGCGATGGTCTTGGCAAACGAGCCGCCGCCGAACCACTCGCAGTAGTGGTTGAACATGTAGCGGTCGATGCACGTGCGAATTTCGTCGGTGAGGGGCATGGCCATGCGCTTCTTGGAGTCGCTTTGGTTGTTCCACTCCTGCATCTCGGGCTCGCGCACGAGCTTGTCGCAGTAGATCTGATCGCCGCCACCGACGACGGCGTGGTAGGGCTTGGCGGCGTGCGCCTTGAGCAGGTCGTCCCACAGCGGGTTGGGACCGTTGAACTCGGACTCGTCGACGCTGGCGCTGAAGCCGTTGCAGCTGTGTCCGGCCCAGCGGAAGTTCTGCGACTTGGCGGGCACGAAGAAGGTGTGTCCGGTGAGGCCCTTGATCGCCTCGGACTGCGAGTTGGGGTGAGCCTCGCCGTCGATCGAATAGTGCACGGCGAGCTCGTGGTCGGCCATGGGGATCTCGATCTTGAAGCGCCAAAAGGTGAACGAGCCCTCGGCGCCGTGGTACTGGTACAGCTTGATGGCCTGCGACGAGGCGTGCGAGTTGTCCTCGGACACGGCGGTGGAGCCGTCGGCGGTGGCTGCCGAGACGGCCGAGGCATTCTGCCAGCGCAGCTGCATTGTAGGCACGATGGAGTAGTCGCTGGTGGCATCCTCGGTGACGATCATGGCGAATGCATGGTAGAGGTAGTTGCCGACGTCGACCGAGTCGTAGCGGAGCATGGGCCCCGTGCGCACGTTGAGCGTCGTCATGATTTGCTTGACCGTTTGACGGAAGGCAGGTGCTTGTAAGGATGAGGGATGATCTGACTTCAGAGAGGGTTTGGGTATATGTAGGAGCAGAGCTAGCTCGACGAGAAAGGCTCAAGGAGTAAAGGAGAGTGTGAGCGCGCAACGATGGTGGTGGTGGGTGGTGAGGAGACGAGACGAGACGAGACGAGAAGGCGGAGCGGTGCTCGAACATATGCACCTGCACAATGCACTGCCCGGAAAGCGGGAAGGAAATGGGCGGAAGGCGGAAGGCGGATGGCGGATGGCGGAGGACAGAATGCAGACTCCGGCTCAGTCTGGGCGCTTCTCTCGCTTCAAAGCAAGCGGCTGTGGGCTGACGATCCAGCAGGAATCACAATCACAATCACATGCAGATGCAGACGCACACAGCACACAGCACACAGCACACAGCACA